GACTTGTCTTCGCCATCATCTTCCCCAACTCTTCCTTCTCAGAATTTACTTGGCACAAGCCCGCGCCTAGATCCAGTGGACTCCTTCTCATCCTTTTCCTTCCTCTGGCGCCTCTTTGTTGCTTTCTCCTCCGCTAGCGCACCTTTCATGAGCCTGATGTTGCTGAATGCAGATGAGTTGTAAATCATCTCGAAGACCGTCGGGGATAGCAACCTTATAGCCTATCCCAGCGCTCCTGTCTTACCGTACTTGGTCACCTCTCATGCGTAGGCTCATTCAAGGATTACCTGTGATTATATCAAATAGCGGGAATCCCTCTCCCCCGCTCTGTGTCTCTCCAATTTTAACGGATGTCCCATAGGACTAAGCAACAAGCAGTGACCTTGAGATATCATCGTGAGTTGACCGGTCATAGGTTTTTCAGAATGATTTTATTATCGTCATTTGATTGTATCCGGTGTTGAACTTGGGTCTGTATTTCAACGGGTCAAGGGTGTACCAACTGAGCTAGGCCAGTTGGTTGCATGGCCAGCCCCAAAACCAGATGCATGGGTCATGCCATGCTTCTCTCTATCGTTCCAATTTTAACAGATTTCCCGAAGGACTGTCCTGTGGGCGCGGCCCTACGGAACTGGGTGGTCCCGGGTAATTCATAATTGTTTTACTATAGTCATCTCATGGTATCTGCACTTGAACTTGGATATGAAGTTCAACAGTCCCTTGGTATACTAACCGAGCTAAGCCAAACGGTTCCGGGACCGGTCTCGGTACCGAGCCCGTGTAAAAAAAAGAGGAACCTTAAAACTAAAACTGAAAAAAAAAAAAAAAAAAAACATTGAAACTTGTCGAGGGAAACGGAAAATGTTGGCACCCTCCTTGACCAGACTGATCGGACCTGTGGTAGAGACCGGCAAACAAAACCAAGGGGATAGCCGCACCAAGCCCTCAACCCCTCGGTTTCCTTCAAACTGCTCCAATACTCTTGCACCGTCGCTCGCTGGCCTCGATTCTTGAATCTTTTGGATGAAAGTCTAATACCGTAACCAATAGTGTTAGGCTCAAGGCTGGCACTAGCAGCCGCGCAAATCTATAAAAGTAGGTGTTGCGAGATGCTCGACCCTATCAACACATATCAAGGCCGCACCTTGGCCTACCGACTAAAACAACGGTCGCCAAGCTCCCGCTTCTTCCGCACGGATGTCCAACCCGTGTTTTTACCCCTTCGCTCACTCCGCATAAAATACAGAAGCGGCCTTATCATCAAAGTCGCCCTCCGCACAAACACACACGTATCATGGTCATACGTACCGACCAATGAAAAAGATCATTTAGTCCTAGTCTAATCAAAATCAAGAAAAAATTGGTCAACACATGCGCAGGCTTTATAATATATATATAAAAAAAACATCATGCGCGCCTCAAAACAGCACACGTCTAAACACTCTCTACTTTCAGCCAAACATTTAATCAACGTAACGGATAATACAGTCGTGACTCGCACGATGCACTCAAATTTTCAAGTCAAGATTAATTCTCTGTCACTTGCAAAAACCAGGGCGGATACCCTTGTAAGAGTATTCGCAGCGACAATGACTGTTCGTTCTGAAAGATTCGCTGCCCCGACAACAGAAACGAGAAAGGAGATATAAAAAAAAAGGGGAGGGGGGGGATAACGGGAAGGGCAATGCCAGATCCATTTTTTTATGTTTGCATTATGACCCTGCATAGTTTGTTCGCAAAAGTTTCGACAACATTGTTTGTAGTGATGCGGCGAAAAACCCCGAATTTTGGGCCTCCCATTAACCACTATTGCCGCGAACGTGGCCGCGAAGTTGCCTTGGGTGCACATTGTCTGAGCTTGAGTGTGACCACCCAGGCAAGGAACGTAAGATGGAAGGGACACTTTTATGAAATGGCCAAGTACAACTATTTTTGAGACCTACTTGCACTAGAAAATATGTCGGGTGCATCAAACTTTGAAGGGTCTCTCTCTCTCTCTCTCTCTCTCTCTCTCTCTCTCTCTCTCTCTCTCTCTCTCTCTCTCTCTCTCTCTCTCTCTCTCTCTCTCTCTCCCCTGGA